TGACGAACTGTTGGACGGGAGACCGAGCAGACGAGACCTCCACGTGGTGCCTATTATAATCCTCAAGATCATCCTTCTCTGCCCCCCTGATCATGATAATTATACACTAATTTTAACTGTCCTCACGGATGAACCGGAGTGCCGGGCTTGGGGTTGGCGGCGAGTGTTTGGTAGCGAGGGCCGCTAGCATCGATCTCGCCCGCATTGACTGCTTCATGCTCCCATCGCATTGGTTCCAGCCCCAAGACACCGAGTCAGGATCAATCTCGCATATTCCGTAGTGGGCCTGCCCAGAGTCATGGACGCCCCAACCCATGCAGCTGGAGTGCGACCGAGAGTCAGGAACGCTGCTCCTGGGCCCAAACAGCTCCACTGGTTCGCTACGACGCTTCTACCATCATGGCCAGCTTCGCGCACATCAACAGCCGGACCCGCGTGGCTGAAACAGCAGCTTTTTCCAGCTTCTATCTAGCCGGGCCCACGAGCCAAATGCCCACCGCAATGAAAAGTCGCGACATTCCCTGAGTGCACCGCGACAGTTTTGACTCCTTCCCTGTCCCCGAGTTGCATCCACCAACATCTCGCGTGGTTCAGCATGAGTGAGTCGCTGCCCTTGGTGGGCCGCAGTCTCGCCATCTTCGTCGTCGCGGCGGTGATGATGGGGATAGGCACAGTTGCAGTGGCTTTGCGCACGTTTGTCCGTGTACACTTGGTGCGGGCCTTTGGATGGGATGACGCCCTGATGATTGTCGCGCTGGTACGGTCGCCTTGCCAAATGTTATGAACAATGCTCGAGAAACCGAAAGAGAACTAACTCTCTGCCAGGTGTTGTTCATCTTCCTGAACGCCTGCTGCATGATTGGAGCGAAAACCGGAGTGGGTCACAAGATGCTGGACTTCACCAGTATCAAGACGATAGAGAAAGCCATGCTGGTAAGAGCATCCATTCCCTCCTCCTTTGTATGTTTGAAAGCATTCCTCTAATCTAAGATGGAGAGAACTATAGTGGTGGTGGCTGGGTCAGATGTTATATCTTTGGGCCTCTGCTGTCGCCAAAGTGTCCATTGCCCTCGCCCTGCTGCGGTTGACAGTGCGCCAAGCGCATCGCATCATCCTGTGGACCATTATTGGAGTCGTGACGGCCATCGGTCTGATGTTCTGGCTGGTTCTGCTGTTCGACTGCCACCCCGTCTCGTATTTCTGGTTGCGGCTTGAACCCACTCATTCGGGAACCTGCCTGTCGATCGACACACTGCTGGCCATTGCCTACTTGTACAGCGCCATCACCATCTTCTGTGACCTGACCCTGGGCATTTTGCCCGTGTTCTTGATTTGGCGACTGCAGATGAACGGTCGCACCAAGGTCGCACTGGGCGTGATTCTCAGTCTCGGAGCCATGTACGTGTCTGTTCGTTGAGATTCTCTCGTCGCAATATTCTAACCCGGTTCCAGCGCGAGTGTGGCGGTTATCATCCGACTCCCATTTCTACACTTCTATGGAGACACCGATTTCCTCTGTGAGTGACCGCTCCACGGCTGGGCACCATGCATCGTTTCTGACGCGACACAGACTCCACATACCAGATCGCCATTTGGTCCATCATTGAGACCGGTCTTGGAATTACGGCTGGCAGTCTCGTAACTTTACGCGCCCTGTGCCGCTGGTTCCTCGAGGGTAGCAGCACTCAGGGCCGCCGGGTCCCGGGGAAACAGGCCAGCGATGGCCCATACGCGCTGTCCAGCTGGACGGGAGAGGTCTCGAAGAAGAGTATGCGCGATCCCCGGTATTGGCGTCCAGACCTCGTCCCCGGCCAGATGGATCATCTCACCGTCACCACAGTCTCCTCGCCGATGGCTGGGAGTCCACGGAGTGACGCCAATAGCAGCCAGGAGATACTGAACCCGGAGGGAGAATCGTGGCATCATGGAAACCATGTTAGTATCCACCAGACGTTTAAGCTATCCGCGGAAGAGTAATTTTGCCGGGTACTGGTTTTCCTTAATTGTTTCATTACGCCTCTCAGATATAATATAATCTCTTCTATGTCGTGTTCGACGCCTAGTTTGTTGCGCTGACAGTAGGAGGAACACCCTCTCCTCAGGTTCATGATAATGTTTGAAAGGAATAATTCTAAAACTCAAAAGTCGTGAGATTCGAAACTCGTGAGAGGATCATGATCATAACAACTTTAGCGCAGCATGCTGACGCATTGAGCGATTAATACAAGAAAGAAAGAAGAAGGATCACAACGCCCATCAGATTCCCAGACTGGCACAACTGAACGCCGGGGAAACCGACCCCGAGTAATCCGTGATGATGGCCTCGACTGCCGCATACAGACCCGGTCCCAACAGAAACAGGCCACAAGCCATGACGAAGGCATGCAGCAGGGTCATGCTCGTGCGCCCGAGTCCCGCAAAGAGCTTCCCCCGGTACAAATGCCAGTACGCTACGGCGAAGAAGATGAAGCCGAAGAAGGAGTCAAAGGCGGCACCCAGCAACGACAGAAAGTCGCCCATGCTGGGGACGACCTCGGAAAAAATGAATCCCAGTACCCAGATGCCAATCATCACCAGGGCCCACACTCCCCAGCCCACGACGGTGTTGCTGTGTGCGTGTCTGGAGGTACCCAACAGGTGAGAATAGATGAATTTAGCGGTGACGTTGGCGTAGATGGCGCCGATGATCAATGTAGGCACGATGACAAAACCAAAGGAGGCCTTCCTGTACTTAACAAGACCCAGACTGCCAAAAGCGGGCGCAGTGGCGTATTGGCCCAGGTAGCGGAAGCCGATGGCGGGCGGCACGATGAAGAGAACGGTGGAAATGATGGCCAAGACCGCCAGGGACTTGGGGAAGTCCTCCGGGTGCTCCATCTCCGCGATGAAGGTGGGGAAGAGAATCTGGGGCACCCAGAGGAAGGTGATGTTCAGCACGGCGTTCATGCAATCCACCCAGCTGGTGCCGGGCAAGGGGAAGGCGTATGTTCGCACAGGACCATCGGTCGGAAAGTCCAGGGGTGCCGTCTCGATTCCCGCGAAAATGAGGAACAACAGGATGGCCAGACCCATACAAGCCGCTGACATTGTTAGCGAATCACAGGTTGCAAACATTGCGGTGACATGAGTTCACTTACCCGAGAACATCGACATGAAGGAGACATGACGCAGGGTTCTTGGGGCGGACAGGACGATGCCCATGACCATGACGATCGCAGAGAAGGTCACGGTACACAGGGAGTGATCGGACAGTGTATCAAGCACCTTGGCTCCAGTCAGGATGTGGAAACCGATCAGCAGGATGTTGTTAGCCAGCAACATGAAGCCGGAAAAGATGTACGCCGTCTGGCTTTTGCCGAAGACATAGTAGCCAAAGTCGCCTGTCCGGGGTGACGAACTCGAGTCAGTCTCAGAATCCTATCACAGGAGACATGGGAAGAGAGGAGTTCCTACAAATGTTCCTGATTTGTGGGTGCTTCATGATGTACTTGTGCATGGTGAGGGAGGTGACCCAGAAGAGGGCGCCGGACACAACCATGGTGATGATGCCGGGCACCCATCCGAGCACGCTGAGGGACAATGATGATCAGTTTCGTGGCCATTGGAGATTTTCCCTCTTGACTTACGAGAGTGACCAGGATTGAGCCATGATGGCCAGACAGACTTGGTCTCCGGCGAGCAACCAGGCGGCCTTTTGCCAGGACATGGTTCGGAGTTGGATCTCATGTTGATGGTCTATATCCCGGCATCCCCGCGACTTAGCCTCGGTTCAAACAGACCAATGGAGCTGCAGCCTACCTTCGGTCACCAGCGCATTCCAGATCTCGTTGGACGTGGACTCGTCGGATGCCAGCTCGGCCACATCAGTGGGCGCCTGTTCCAGCTTCTCCTTGCGATATATCGGAGCCGTCATGATGCAGGGCGAACTGCTGGAAACCAACTAGCAGTATCTAGCGGAAGAGGACTCGATCGGAATGCAAGGATCGACGAACCCTGCAGCAGAGAAGTATTTAATTTAAGAAGTAAACAAAGTCGCGAGAGAGAGAAGAATTTGGTTGAGGATGAAGAAGCTTTGATTGGCAGGCGAGGCGGGAGTGGATATGGCGTGATAAGCCCCAAAATGGCGAGGGGAAGATTTTAGTCGGAAGGAGAACATTTCCTGGATTTGATTGATTGATGGATCGTATAGTTATCTCGTTAGTCTACTATTTTATTGTGATTTGTCTGGCTTATCGTCTCCCCGCGTGGGTCGCTTGTCAGCCCGTCTTGACATGCTCGCCATTTCGATCGTCCCGGTCGCAAGTCGTCTTGGCTGCTGCTGGCTAGAATGGCGTGAGTTGCATCGTATTCTTCATCCACTCCAACCCCTGTCAACGCAATCTTATTGGATCTCTTAAAAAGACCTGTTTTGTGATGATTTTCTCGATTGCAATGGCCATTTCTGGAAAGGCTTGCGATGAATGAGACGTCAGTGACGAACCAGTGTCGGCATATTCACTGCCTCCCCCGAAGCTCAAAGGGAGCTCACCCTCGGCGGTCACATCTCTGGCTTGCAGTTAATCAGTCAGCATGACCAATCCTTTACTGAGCTTGAAGTCAAATTTTCTGCTTCATTGTCAAGAATATCGCCGACATTACACGATCGGTTAATTGTGGCCACAACTCGAGCAAGGGGGTGCGACCAGTGAGTGGATGAATAAATATGGTACTGCAGGCAGTCCCTGAATAGCCGACCCAATCCAATATTCCGCTTGCAGCTTAGCTGAATATAGCTACTCAATGGTGACTAGTTTCCTTCGAGGCTATACTAAATCATGAACGACAGCCTCTCATCGCGTCGCATGCGGGAACGTGTCACCGGCGTCTCCTCACGCAGCACCGCATCACTCAAACCCTGTCACAATGCGTTGGACCGGTCGCGCAAAGTATTTAAAGTAGAGGGGAAGAGCCTGTGAGATCGCACCGGAACCAGTCGTATCCTGGTCATCATTCTCAAAGTCATGTTGCGCGGCCATCTTCTACTGCTAGCAATCGGCTGGGCTGGAGTGCTACATGCCCTACCCAACTCGCAGAGACGAGGGAACATCAACAAGCGCCTTCAATTCACCTCCAATGGTACCTTCCAACTTACCGTGTTCGAGGATCTCCATTACGGAGAGGGTAAGTCACACTGCTAATTAATTGCCCGCGGATAGGATATACATTGACCCTTCTGTTCTAGCGGAGGACACCGACTGGGGCCCGGAGCAAGATGTCGAGAGTCGCACCGTCATCAACACCGTCCTGGACCACGAAAGTCCTCAGCTGGTTATTCTGAATGGCGACCTCATCACGGGAGAAGACACCTTCCTGTCCAATGCCACGGACTACGTCGATGAAATCGTGGCTCCACTCGTCCAACGAAACCTACTGTGGGCGTCCACCTACGGCAACCATGACAGCGACTACAACCTCTCCCGCAATGCTATCCTGGACCGAGAGCGGACCTATCCCAACAGTCTGACCACCAGCATGGTTTTGGGCAAGCTGGCAGGTGTGTCGAATTACTACTTGCCTGTGTACCACTCCGATGCGTCCCAGAGCACCCCAGCAGTCATCCTGTGGTTCTTCGATAGTCGCGGAGGGAACTATTACCGGGAGCTCGAGGGCGGGAGTGAAGTCCCTCAGCCGTGCTGGGTCGATCAGTCGGTGGGTCGCGAGTTTCGTTTCCCGCACAAAGGCGATGCTGACCCCTTCATCAGGTGGTGTCATGGTTCGTGGAAACCAATGCGAATCTCACGGCGCAGTATGGGAGAGTAGTACCTTCGCTTGCCTTTTACCATATTCCCGTCAACGCTATGTTGGCCTTTCAAAACCAAGGCGTTGAGACCCATGAAGAGCCGGGCATCAACGCAGACGATCCCCTCGATCAGCAGGGAGCAGCGAGCGGGCAGGGTGAGGTCTCCGGCACTGTGTTCAGTTACTCGGGCCAGGATATTCCCTTCATGGAAGCGCTGCTCAATACCAAAGGGCTCTTGGCAACCTTCAGCGGCCATGACCATGGCGACGATTGGTATGTCTTCTTTGAACCCCTGGCTAAATGGGGAAAGACAACATATCTGACTAGAAATAGGTGCTTCAAGTGGGACTCCAAGCTTCCCGGGATGAACCTGACCGGGAACGGTTTGAACATGTGCTTTGGCCGCCACAGTGGCTACGGTGGATACGGTTCGTGGACCCGAGGCGCCCGGCAGATCCTCCTAGACGAGAGAACTCTGAGCACAGAGTTGTCCACCTGGGTCCGGTTGGAAGATGGATCGGTTTCGGGCAGTGTCAGTCTCAATGCCACGTACGGTGAGGATGCGTATGCCGCTGTGCCAACAACGTATACGTGATTGCTCCACGCAGAGTCTGTCCCGCCATGGCAGTCTCCCCATAATGACACGGAATGTTTGGCGTAGAATCGCATCGACGGGAACACTGGAAGGTTTTTACATCTACGCTGGCATACGTGAGGGGAGCAAAGCCAGGAAATACGTAGCTGCGTCATGATCGTCGTCGTCGTCATCATCATTTCACATTTCGCATCTAGTAGCTGTCTATACCGACATATATACTACTCTATCGTTCTTAGTATTTCTTCTCCATGGTGAACCCATGGCCAGCCAGATACTCCTCCAGCTCGCGATCCTCCTTCTCCAGATCCAATTTCCCGCTTTCGGGCAGGAACCAGTACACAATCATGCCCAGAATCGCCACGCCACCCAGAAGGTAGAAGGTGGCGCTGTCTCCGGCGGCATCCTGCAGGGGCGTAAAACACTGCGTGCCCACCGCCGCTCCCGTGCGACCAAAGGCCGTGGCCACACTGTACCCCATGCCGCGCATGGCGGTGGGGAATGATTCACTGGATATGAGGCCGATGGTGGCACCCGGCCCCAGGTGTCCAAAGGCCTGTAGCAACCCGTAGAGCACGACAAAGGCCGCGATATGCTGGGAGAGTTTGGCGTAGGTGCCACCGATGATAAAACCCAGGACCACGTAGCCCGCGAATCCGACCATTCCGGTGCCCCGGCGTCCGATCAAATTGGTCAGCCATGCGCCGATGATGACGCCGGGGACGGGGAGCGCCGCCAGAATGATCTGCCAGATGGCAGTCGTCTGGATGTTGCCGTCCTTGACGAGCGAAGAGATGATAGTGCTCGACATGATGCTGTTGGGGAAGTTGATGAAGTCGTAGAGGAAGAAGGCCAGCGAGGTGGTGAAGAGACGCTTCCAGTACCGGCGCACCAGCACCCAGTAGAATCGGGCGGGTTTCCGCTGGCGCTTGAAGTTGGAATGGTGATACAAGGTCGAGTCGGTCATGAAAAATCGCAAAACCATGATGATGGCGGGCAAGATGGTGGCAATGCTGTAGATGGCATGGAAGGTGATGGGCAGGTTGTTGTTGGTGGCCTTGAGGCAGATCAGGTAGATGATCATTAGAATGGGAGAGGCGGTGGTGGCCATCAGCGTGGTGAAGGAGACAAAGACAGGTCCTCGGTAGCGGCGCTTAAACTGCATACAAAGCATTCTGGTTAATTGCACATTCTTGAAATCCTTGGTCCTGGTCTGCCTGATAGTGCGCCGGTAGGGAAGAGAAGGGGATGGAAACGTACATCGTCCGATTCTTCCAGGCCGGCCGCCGCACTGGGAGGGTATTCTCCGCCCACGCCAAACCCACAAATGCCACGGACGATGACAAAGTACCAGAGCATGTTGTGAGAAGGGTGCACCTGCAGGGCCAGGGTGGCCATCAGCGTGGAGATGGTGACCAGGCCCGAGGTGAAGAGAAGACCCGCGCGCCGGGAGGCCATGTCCGAGACGTATCCCAGCACGACCACGCCCAGAATGGCACCGATGAGCAGGGAATTGCTAATGCGCGTCTGCATCTCCGATGGGTAGCCGGATTTGCCCAACAATTTCTTGAAGATGACATTTGTGGGATTGGCCAATTGGTTTTGGAACCCATCGCTGAAGTTGGCGATATACTGTCATAAACCACTGGTTAGCGACGCGTTCATTGGTAGCTTTCGGTGGGGTTGAAGAGAAGAAAAGAAAGATCATCGGTTGTGTACTTACGCAGCTCAGGATGGTCAAATTGCTCTGCCAACGCGTGGGACGGTAGGTTGACGGCGAACCACTTTCCACCTCCTGGTCAGCCACTACCGTCTCGGCTGTTCTTTTGTCGGACGTACTCTCGCGCATCAGGGGGTGATTTCTGCAGATCGACTTCGTGGGAGAATCAAATCACTGCGCGGGGATGGTAGGGACAGGGCAGAAATTTAAGGTGAGGGGAAGCTTTCGCGGGAGCCCTACAACAAGCCCCGGCACCGGCCGCGGAACCGATAAATTATCAGATAAAAGATTGTAGCGCAGACCCAGTTCCGATAATGGCCGATGCTCTGGTTGGCCAGTTAGATTGTGTCAAGCATATTCTCTCTGCTCAGGCCATTCTCCGCGGGGAGAGAAACAAGGTTACTGGCCAATGACTAACAGTAACCATGGCCGATCCCGAGCCAGATGGAGGAGAGGATGATCACACCAACAAAACATTCCCCCTTGCCCCAAAATGCTGATATCCATCACTTTTTGTAGTACCTAATTCTAACATTTATAATTAACAATCAACGCAGAGGCTATGGTGCTCTCTTCGTTCACGAGACGAAGATGAGGGCAAAGAAAAAGAAGCAGAAAAAAAAAGGCCGGACCCTGCTGGATGACCCACTTGCCGTGCGTCGGTACGTAAGGAGCACAATTAGTGGTGTACGGAGTTGTCTAGTCTCTGAAGCAGTACGAGAAACTGTTGGGAAAAAAAATGAAGAAGAAAGAAACTATGAAAGATGGGCACGCTGGACTCGTCGGTGAAGATGATTCCAGACCCTGTTAACCCCAGGCCTAAAAAAATTATAAAACTTGATCGCAGTAGCCAAGATTGTGTGTCAGCGGAATTGCTGCGGCGATAAATTATGATCTACTAGTAGATAGAGAGGATCACTCATTACTAACATTCATAATATCATAATAGTGACTTGCTAATAGATCTTATATTATTTTATATAGTATGCAGTTAACTAATGAACTATGTGCACACCAAGGACCTGTTGAACGAGTCACTAGTAGTATTACTAGCACAACCAAGTAGAGGGACTGCTCCAACCAATATATACATTCTGGATAGAACTGACCTACTATAGATACAAAAGAAGCATGAATACACTCAAGTAGCAAGAAGAGAATTATGAATCACCACGGAAAAGAAATAAACAATCAACATCACCAATCCCCTACTGTGCTTTCTTCTCTTGTGTTCCATCCTGTCCTTCTGCTGACTCCTGATCCTGACCCTCCGGCGATGGCATACGCGAGAGCCAGAACCGAGAGATCAACCCGCCCAGGTATTTCTGATCGATCCACTTGATGAGGCCGTACAGCAGCCAGCCCCAACCCCACAGTGACACGCCCATCATACTCGCCACCAGGAGCACCGGTCCCAGAATGAGCACCGACAGTATCGCCCAGAGAACAATGGCGACCGCAGCAAAGACGAAGACGCCCGCAAGGAAGACGAGTAAGGGCACGCCGCAACAGATGGCCTGACAGACGAGGAAGGTGGTGCTGGCGGGACGGCGCGCGGCCTCATCGTAGAGCCAGGCCTGGCGCGGCGCCGGCAGGATCCAGGAGAGCAGCCAGGCGAGATGGGCTTCGAAGCGATCGAGCAGACGGGGCAGGGACTGGCGACACCACTGCTGGAGGGGCGCGAGCACCGGCCCACTGTTGGCGTCGTCGCGCTGCGCATCGTGAATGTGATCTGGTTCGCCGGGATATTCGCCGGGGAGGACCGAGTCGGGCAACCGAGTGGCGGTTTGCGTGGTGGTGTCCTGCGTTTGCTGGACGGTCGATTTGAGGTCGTTGGCCAGCTTGGGCGGACGGCCAGCCAGGTTACCGGTCGCGGAACTGAGAGACATCGCGGAATTGTTGGAAGGAAGCTTAGATGAAGTTAAATTAGAATGTCCAGAGAAACAAAAACAAGTAGTAAAGGTTGTTGGGGGTGGGGATTTGGGGAACAAGATAGATAGACAGTCAGTGGAAGGGAAGAGTAGAAAAGAGCAGCAGCAAAGCAATGACGTAGAGGGCGGGGGAGGACATCGTCAATCCAGGGTGGCCCTGAACGGGTGGACTGACCCCGACCCAGTCATCACAGTTGCTTTGTAGAACTCAAAAACTCTTCTCCATCCAGTAGTAGTACTTCTACTTCATACGTATCTCCTTTTCTGCTTCCCAGCAGGAGAAGGCGCCCATCCTCGGTGACGTCACTGCTCTTTTGCAACATATTGATCAGGAACCCTAGGAAGTTCACAACAAGAAAGCGGGCATATTAGTTTTAATCTCACGAGGTCTACAAGGCACATGAGGGAGCTCCATTAATTGCCTAGACTGTCGAGCCATTAGGTTCATCCTCGATCGCCTCTTGCTTGGTCCTGCGTCGCCCACACCACCTGCTTCGCTTCCCGACCGCCGCCCGAGCCTTGTCATCCCCGCCATGTCCCTGTCTCCCGATGCGCAAAAAGGCGCACAAGGGAATGCCGATGGCCGATATCCCTGCACAGTAGAGCAAGGTGGCACTGTATGGGGCGATCGCATCCCCCGCAAAGTACCCATGGCTGGTGGGCCCGCCCGACTGGACGGCATCGAAGATGGCGGTGCTGATGCCCATGCCAATCGTCACGCACAATTTGGTCACCGTCTGCAAGATGCCGCCTGCAATGCTCTGCTGGTCGGATGGTAGGGCGCTCATCACGTACATGTTCGCGACGCAGAACTCAAAATCCGCCCCCACCACCGCCAGCAGCAACCCGGGGAAGATAAATGCCCAGTAGCTGCTGCTGGAATGCTGCAGCCCCATGAGCAGAAAGGCCCCCGTGTAGGCGGTGGCCCCGACCGTCATAAGCAGCGTGTTGGACACCCGATGCATGATGAGCCCCGCCACAATGTTGACGAGAATGCCGCCAATCGCCATGGGGAGCAGGTGCACGGCCACCATGAGGGCGGAGTAGTGCCGGATCTCCTGCAGAAATAGCGAGATCCAGAAGGTCATGATAGGGAAGGCCAGGAAGCCCAGCAGCAAAATCGTGATGACCAAGGAGAAGTCCCGGTCGCGCCAGATAAACATGGGCACCAGGGGGTATTCATACCAACGCTCCCAGAAGACAAAGCCAACTATGAACAGCGCGCCCAGGATGAGCAGCACGAGCACATATGGCGTCTTCCATCCAGAAGGGGCATCCGAGCCAAGACTAGAGCAGAGTCAACCTGTCAGTCGGGGGGTAAAACAAAAAAGGGCTATATGATGAAGACAGTCAGGCAACGCACCTCAAGGCGCCCGAAAACATGCCAATCCCGGCGATGGTCAGAATGGTCCCGACGACGTCGAATTTCTTCAGTGCGAGGAGGGACAGAGGCTCTTTGGCCCCATGGTCCGTCGGCACCACGAACAGTGCGACCGCCACGACGACGACGTAAATGATGGCCAGCAAGAAGAAGCTTGCCCGCCAGTTAAAGAGCTGGGTCGCAATGCCCGAGAAGATGGTCCCAAACACGAAGCCCAAGGGATTGCCGGCGCTGAAGCAGGCAAACACCCGATTCTTGCGCTTGGACGGGCGCGGGTACAGGTTGGCCAACATCCCCTGCGCCGGTGGGATCGAGGCAGCCGACATCAAACCCATCACGCCGTTCAAGACGTCCAGTTGCAGGGGCTTCTGGGAAAACCCGGCACCCAGAGCGAAGACCGCATAGAAGACGAGACTGCCGAGAAAGAGGGTCTTGCGACCAAACAAGTCTGCGAGGCGGCCGAAGCAGAGGAGAAAGGAGCCACAGGCGAGCCTAAACGGTTCTCATCATTAGCTACACCGGTATGCGAAAAAAAAAAAGAGAATTGGGGGGGATGGCGCACGAGGAGGAACCGGCCAGCCAGGTGAGTTCAGCGGTGGTCATGCCCAGATCCGTCTGCACTTGCGCGGTGAGGACGGTGACACTGCCGGTCAGGAGCGACGACATGGCGATGGCCATGGTGGCCACGGCGACAAAAAGGATCTCCTGCACGGTGGACGAAAAGACCGCGGGTCGACTCTCATCGGTGGGTGGTTCGCGGAGTGCCGTGGTGGAGGTTGGGTTCTTCTCCAGCGCGCTGGACATGCTGGACTCCATTTCTCCCATGTTCGCCATTGGGAGCGATGGCACGAAGGGTGAGGAAGACCGCAGAAGAAGTAGTCCGAGGATAGCTGACGAAGGGAGGGGAGATTGAGGAAGAGAGGCGTAATCGGTGGCACCTTGGTACCACCTGAAAAACGACTGAAAGAAAAATAAAAGGTATCGCCAACTAGACACTTAGTGTCATTCACTATTCACGCGGCTTACGAAAGACGCGGGGGTTTTCCGCAGATGTTGATCGGCAAAAACCAGCAACTTTTGTTCCAAGTTGCACGGCAGATCTGCTTGTCGGACACCGCCAATTTGAGAAGGCTGAAGTCGAGGCTGATCGACTGTCCGAAGTGGTATAGACTGTGTAGACTTGAACAGATGAAATCAACTTAGGTGTAAATTCCCGGTCTGCCAATCCTCGTGGATGCAACCATCAGCAAGTCGGGGTGTCGATTCAGATCATCGTGTATCGGGGCCAAGCCAGCCCAGGAGGACCGGAAACCGAGACCCGTCAAACCCAGTCAACTGCCGAGCTCCAACTGATCGTGGGAGAAGGTGCGGGTCTTGTCCGGGAAGACCAGCAATCGCAATACGAGGAACACTGCAATATACTGGTGTCTGTCACTGGGGATACCTGGTTGGAGAGGAGGTACTTGAGTGATTTGTTCGTTCCAATTATTGCCACCCTAATCTAATGGTGGTGGTGGTGTACCACTCCGTGGCTGTGATCTCCGACCGGAGTTAACTTGTCCAACTGTGAGATGCATCTTGAAGACCATCTGCAGGAAAGACGAATGGTCCACCTACCATCCACTAGGCCTGAGGATTAGGGGGGCAGGAGAATCAAAGTTATTTAAAGTTAGGTGGACCCGGGCACCGTCTTTAAAGTCCCTTGGATCCGACTTCAGCCCACTGCGGGGAGACGCACCAACTGACGTATCACACCCACCCTTCCCCTCTCCTGTGAGTATGCACGGACGATTTATGGCAATGATACTCAAAAGGAGAAGTGGGTTTAACCCCTCTTCAACAGTCATATGCAAAGTGGGGCGAATTTGGCCGGGTATGAAAAGCATCGTGGATGTAATGGCCCGCAATAAGTCTATCAAACGCGGTCCTGAATTACGCTTTTGACCCACCAGCAAGGAAAACACGAAATATGAAGGGGGAATGTTATCCTATCTCCCATGCCTCATGCGGTGTACACATAAATCACTTCCTCATTCTAAATGAATCAAAAGCTTGCCCAGTCATAGAGTAGCTGAAGTAGTGTATATTATGTCTATTGGGTATCAGGTTGGCAGAAACATCTCTTCTACAATGTATCATGTCATCATCGCAAAAATAACCATGATCAAGCACTAGAAGGGACCAAAATCTCCCCCAAAGTCGTCAAAGTCCGGGCCTGGGGGTGGCGGACGATCAAAATCATCCTCCAACGCCTCGATGCCTTCTCCGAGCAGGAATCCTCCCAGCAATCCTCCGCCCACTCCCAGGGCAGCCGCCCCCATCTTCCCCATGCCTTTCTTCTGCTTCTGGTTGCGCGGGGCTTGGGCTTGATCCGGGCCGTTCTGGTATGCAGTGGGATACTGATTGGGATAAGCGGGTTGCGGGGGATACGCAGGGTTATAGCCATAGCCATTATACCCGTACTGGGGCTGCGGGTAGCCGTAGGGGGATACCCCTCGATTCGGCGCGTATGTGGACTGCGACGCAGGCCGTGGGGAGGAGTAGTAGTAGGGATCCGGACGATCCCGAGTTCGTGGATCTGGATCTTGTCGATTACGCGTGGTGGCCTCGTAACTGGGCGGGGGACCCTTGGGAGGCGGAGCTGCACCATCAGGCTGGGCTGGTCGGTCTGGTCGTTCCCATTGTGAGCGCCCGGTGTGAAGGTTGACATAGTACCTTAACAGTAACACAATCGTTAGTACAAGAGGACTCGAGAGGGAATCCCAAGACCTCACTATGGTTGCTTACCATTCTTGATAGCGATCATCAAATTCGGCTTTCCAGCCCTCGGGCACAAGGGGGGCAGGAGGAGGCATGGTGACACAGTTTTAGATTGAGATAATTTCAGAGATGGTAACCAAATGCAGTGATTACTAACCGATGTTGTGACTGAGAGTGAGAGATGAAATCCGAGATATGCCGAGTGGATCTATATCTCTCTTATATATTGCACCGGATCTGACGGGCCGAGTTGGCCGGCAAAGATTTTAGGCGCCCGCGCCACTTGACATCATCCCGACCAGCGCATGCAGAACAACTTCAAGGGGAACGACACACTGTTGATGGTGCCAGCATACAATGTTATACTGAATCAGGACCGGCCGAGAGGCTTGCAGGAGGCGGTGCAACTGGCCAACGTGGCAAGGAATCCCGGGCAGCCTTCCAGTGAATATCCGAACCACGATGAACCACTCCGCTTCCGACTAGAGTCAGGATGATCCTGTTGTTCCTGAGAACTTCCTATCAGGCTCTAAATATCTCCAAAGAGGAAAGCTATAGCAAGTATGTAGCCGCCGGTGTGTTGGCGGCGCGATTTCCATTATCGCCAGGAATGACCTCGAGTGTGGCGGGCTATCATCACCTCTATCTATGCACTGGACTATCCCCAACCAACTTTTCCCCAATGGAATCCAGCGTTTGGCCTTGTATAAGTTATAATAGCTCTACCACGGTGTATACCTCGGAATAGGTGTCTCTAGTGGCTATTGGCAGGTTATTGAGGCCTGACGAACGGGAGTACCCACCGGGTTCCGGCTTCTCCGTGCAAACAGGCAGTTATATTCTTCCGCCGGCGATTTTACAGCGTACATTAATGGATAGATAATTCCTGAAGCATGGTTTCTTTTCATTTCTTGCACGACATCCCCCGTCCAGTGAAGATCAGCAGCTATCCGCATTGTCTGGAGCCTGAAAGCCCCTCGGACTCTAAAAAAGCTTGTCACTCATTCACAACCTAAGCGAACATGGCCGAAAATGAACGTCAATATCAGCCTCCAGTAAGACTTAGAAGCTTATGTGAGATGTGACAGTCGACTAACACCCTCTAGCCTGGCCCCCCGCCGAAATTTTACGCGGGACCTCCTCCCCAAGCGCCCCAGCCAGCTGCATCCTATGGATATCCTCAAGGGCCAGCTTATCCACCACAAGGCCCACCACCACAGTCGATGCAGTACCCGGCCCCGATGCCGGTTCAACAAGTTCCCCCGGGACGTATGCAACAGAGCAATCAAGCGTCGGGGGAAGAGGGATGTTGCGCAGGCCTTCTTTCGGCCTTTGCATGTTGTTGCTGTCTTGATCTGCTGTTATGATTAGCATGCCTCCCTCGGGAGGGGAGCATAATGGGATTCCCCGCGAACTACCTAACTCCTTGAATGAGACGAATCAGTCACTGTTGTAGAAGACAGTCTGTACATATATGCCAAGGGACACATTTAATCATGACAGCCAATTAATCATTATTGGTGTATGGGTCTCTACCCCGGCACTTGAACTAAGGTTTTCTCAAACTATCCTCTGAGCTAGTCAGGAATAGATGACTTGTTGGATACCTCCAACTACCCTACGACGGATGGATTCACACGTAAATCGACGACTATCGCAGATAAACTTGAACGGTAGTATGACGTACCACTTGTCTGGGGAAGAAATCCGAATGGCAGTACATTTATAGAATGGCTGAGTTCTTTGACCATCAAGTTCGGACTACTCGATGTGCAATCTTCGTTGTTCTCGTGGGGTTGCGCATGGCCGACGGAGTCCGGTTCCCAGGCGTCTCTCCGTAAAAGAGATGAACTCCATTTGCTGACTTAGTATGCAGGTAGACCCACAGGTAATATCCTTTTACCCACAGTATCCTCTTTCAGCAGATGCACAGCTACCAAACCTTTGACGCAATAAAATTGGTGATCGACGATAGGATAGTCTCTGCGGCCATTTATCTAATCCATGTGCAATCACCCCCGCCAATGCTACGTGGTCACCGACGGACTCCACTTCCAATAGACATGGGTTCACCAAATTATTTCATCGAAAGGGAACATAAAATCACTCAGGGTTCAACTTACATGCAGGGTTTTCCTAGCACTTAATTTGTACATGAGCGCAGAGCTGGTCAAGTGCACCATACTAGGTAGGTGTCATCCTATCGCTGGAACCCTTTGACCCCTACATAGCACCAGAGCGTTTTGTGGTGAGGCGTTTGACAAACCGTCCTTCGTTTGTGATAGGGTGGGTTTCAAAGCAATGTAGCCTAGCAAATAGCCTGATGTTAGAAACCCAGTATGCTCTCTGTCACTGGGTGCATTGTTCTTCGAGGTCAGGAAGCCCACAGCCCATCATGTGCGAGCTATTTCCTCGTGGTTTCCATTCCCCTATTATCCAGACTTTATCAGCCCCATAAGGCGATCCATAATATGAGCATGGTATATGTTCTGGATCCACCTGATCTAGTGTGGATAACCGAAATGCCATGACCGCAATCATCTCATTCGGTAGCCACACTGTCTGCCTTATCATTCAATAGATTCGTGTTTCTTATATTTCTTGGCCACCCTCTAATACGCTATATGTTATTTTTTTATCTTCTATCTTCAACATTCTTGGATACGTGGCTGAGGTCGAGGAGCTACACTGTACCGGCAGTCACCGCATGATTATTGCATTACTCTCCGTATTGCATGCAACTTTCACTGGAATACCCAACGACAGGGAGCACGTGATTTACACTCTCATATAGTCGATGAAATCTGGGATATCCTGTGACAGTAAGCAATAACAACTACCCCAAGTAAAGCACATGAAAGAGTGAGAACCTAACACGTTAAAATCCTCCCAGGTCCACGCATACAAACTGCGCGATGGTTGAGCGCTTTTCTATCGAGCAGATCTCCGCTTCATCCAAGCAAGAATCCGGGATGTCAAAGACGAAGACCTTCCTATTCACTATATTAATCACTCTACTATCCCTCTGCACTGCAGCGGCACTCATCGTCGCCTCGATCGCAATGAAAAAAACACAGGAGCTCGAAGATTTCAGATCCTCGCTCTTCATCAGCGATTTGGAGCGCATGTTCAATAGCACGGCCTATGCTATTGCAAACAGTGGACCAGATGCACCAGCATGTCATGATTACGCTGCGGAGGCGATCACGGGCCAAACGACATTGCCCGGCAATTGCGTGTCCGTGGAAGAAAGTTATAATATGTGGGTGACCAGACTTGCAGATAACTGTACTCCGTATATCTTTGCCGAAGAAAACTGCACTGGTGTTTCTAGAGGCTTTGAGAAGATAGCTACTCCCACATGTATTGTTGCAGCAGGAGGAGGCCGATTGAGTGGGCAGTCGGGGGACTTTTACAGGAGCTTTCGGATATCGTGTACCTAGAGATCGGCCGAGTGAAGCTGCAAGACATAAGTAAGGGAAGTGGGAAGTAGTTGCCGCGGACACGGATCTTTCGCTAAAACGCTACGAAGGCAAATTTGATCGAGCCGATAATTCTGTTTCCTACTTTTACCGACTGAGCGTTTTGCAGTCAAAAACTTCATGTGGCTTTTTCTGGAGGGAAATATTGTTGAGGTATCTTATTGAGATGATCCGGATGGCCTACCATTTGAGTTCTCATGGCATATAGTGCAGCCTCCTTATAATCGACTATTACTGGCCTGCTGTTATTCTGAAAAATCGTTGTATCTATGTCAGACAAGATAGCATCCTGATGTGCACATATAGAATACACTACAGAGGTTTTGCCCATTAACAGTAGCACTAGACAAAATCCAGTCGCCACACATCATCCAACCGCTCATTTGACTCCGCAAGTCCACCGTGGACTATTATGCTCCCAGGATTGGCATGTGCTTCAGGGCCGATGACATCCGCATCAAACCAGCCACGCGCCGGAGGTCTGTTAGGCTCCGCAACATCCACCTGTGCCCACCGCTGAGATTGGAGATCAAATGCCCACACATCCGCTAGCATCTTCCCGGCACCCTGGTGTCCCAGATTACTTGGATCATGCTCGCCAAACATTGTTACCAGAGACTGCCTTCCAGCGATGGTTGTGACGAGCAAGCAGCCGACACTTCGCGGACTGGGTCCGGAAACGCCATCCGCTGCATAAGTAAGACTAGTCCACTCATTCGTCCGCACATCATACACATCCACAGCTCCGCCTTGCTCTCTGGTTCCGTCAAATCCGTTCATCCGGTAGATCCGCTGATCAGCGTACGCGATTGACGCACCGCCTCGTTCAGGGCCGGGCGCCGGAGGCAGCTCTAGCCATTGCCGGGAATGGATGTTGAAGGCCCAAAGATCGCGTAGACGGCCACTCGATGGACATCCACCGTGCAGATAGATAGTGTCTGTGCCGTTATTGGTGAGCGTGTGGTAGCTTCGGCCCGCAGGATGTTGCGAGTTTGAGTTTGCAGGGGGCAATTGCGACCAGGTATTCTGGGTCGGATCAAAGACCCAGAAGGAGCCAAATTCCTCGATCGGGGCCATAGCGATACCGCCCCGACCAGAGAAGATATAGAGTTTCCCGGCGAGAGCGGTCGAGGCGGATCCTACGCGGGGTTGGGGGTGAGTGGCAGACGGGGGAGTCTGTATGAGACTTCGGTTGCTGGATGTTGCTAGTCTGTGTCAATCAAAGTATGGTCCTGATAGATCTTGCCGAGTGGTCAAAGTTATGGCGACTTACAAGCATCAAAAGACAGACGGTATACAGCAGAATCGACTGGTTCTCTTGGCCGCAGCTCCCCGCCATAGATGTATGCGTTGCTGGCGAGAATGGCGAGAGTTTGGGATGATCTCTTGATGGAGACATCCGAGAGAATTTTTGTCCAGATAGCACGCGGCATGGCGAGATGATATCTCCAAATTGAAGGTGAGGTAGGTGATGCGTGAAGGGTAATTCGAAATCTTGATGGTCAACACCCTGCTTTTATAACCCCAACCGCACGGAGTAGGAAACACGGAAACATGGAAACATAACCAGCCAAAGCAGGGTGGGATCCACTCTCCCCGCGTAACGGCATTACCGCGTATAATTTGACCCGATTGGGTTAGCTCACTTGCTCAAGGGAGACGAATTTTGTCAATCCACGCGATATTGTCCTGATCATGTCCGCAGATCACCACATCCATCGGGTGATTGATGTCAAGCAGTGTCAGTTTAGCGATATCCTCTGGAACGGCAGGTAATACGAGTGTCACGCTTTGTCCCCGGGACCAGTAGTCCGCTACCAGGGAGATGATCCGCTTCACGAGGTGAGTGGGATAGTGCGAGTGCTCAAATCCTCGCGTTTTCCTCTCCAGATTCGGCCACGTAACGTCCAGAATGAAGTGAAATAAGCTATCTGACTGCCAGAGACCGACCAACTGGAGGAAACTTTCAGCCAGACTGAAGGTGTAGACATCGGCCGTACCTGCTGCAGCAAAATCCAAGGTGCTCACAATGTGGCAGAAACTCTGTGCCAGCCGAGGAAGCACCGTCGCGGCAAAGTGTTGCTCCGATGCATCGTCAGATGCATACACTGCGCGGGCCTCTTCGAACATCATCTCGCAAAGTATCTGGTACAAGGTGTTCATCGTATCTCGATGAGTTGAGATGTCCCACTCCCTTGGAGGCATAGTATCACGATGGCTGTCAGCATAGCGACCGACAGGTGATTGCTTCGTATGTCGGAGAGAGCTCCAAACAGCTACCCGTTCCTTCTGCACCTGCAACAGCCCCAGTAGATGCGAGCCACGTACAAAGCCTTTCCGTGCCTCGGAAAGCTCCTCGAGGACAAAGGGCCTGCCTAACATCTCGGTCAAGAAACTGTGCGCGAGACTGCCAACCTCTCTTGACGATTCGGGGATCTCGTAACGGTGTGCAACGCAGCGAAAGACTACCAGTCGCGAGCGGATCTCCATAGTTTTGATAAGAATGTCGTAGATCAGGTCATCCCTACTCATTCCCAGAACGGCGGTGAGGTATAAATGGTCGGTGGCATCTGGAAAACAGTTTGGGCCGAACGAGCTTCTGCCCTCACCCTCAAGTAGTAATGATGGTGGCTTCGATAGACGATGAGAAACACATAAGCGATGCCACATTTGCAGGGCCTCCGCTCCCCTCGCGGACCGCATGATGTGCTCCCTATTCCGAGAAACAAATTCAACAGTATCCCACACCGCCGACCGAAAGCGTTGATGGTTGGTCGACGCGTGATGGTAGTATGCAAGAAGAATTTGCGTTGTAAGAATAGCGGGTGCATCGTCTGAGAGCTCTCTCATGTCCGCCTTGCGACAAAGTTGTAACGCGCGGTCATGATAGTCCCGCGCTTTAGCGTGATGTAAGCTATTGACCAGTGGGCTAAACGAAGACTGACGGTGGCTTCCCACGAGGATACGGCTCTGTACTTGTGCATCCAACATCGAGAGGTTGGACGCGGAGATGCACAAGACAGCAGCTCGAAGGTACGGGGAGTGGAAGGTTGCGGTTGCAGATGGCAAAGGGGATGCGGGAAGGAGATAGCGCACATGCCTCTGGAAATGGCTTAGGTAGCATGTTTCAAGATTTTCTCCGCAGTCCAGAGACCTAGCGATCCTGGCTCGCGTGAGCTGATGGGAGATGCATGACCTCGGCAGATGGCGAAGCTCTACGGCCACCTTACTCGGCACAGAACTCAAAGGAAGAAGAGCTGACCGGGAACCTTCCGCCAGAGTGGTCGGCTGTCGCTGCAGTTTTGTCGGAGTGATGTTATGGAAGCTGTAGTCGATACCATAGATACATTCCAAGGATAGCCGGGCGCAAGCTCGGCAACGCGGTTTTGATTCATCGCACTGATAGGACGATGAGCAGGATTAATTCCTCCTGAACTTCTAGTAGGATTGAAGACAACTGACCTTTTTGCCTCTTCGCCGGCAAGGCTTGCAGCCAGAGTGTTTTCTGGTGATCCGCGGCTGGTTGCTCGCGTTCTCCATACCTCGATCACCAAAAGGCATATGGTGATACAAGATTGCGATGGGAGGTAATCAGGAAAAGAAAGCGTTTGCTCCGAGCCGGTTTCAGAGAGAGAATTGATTACACCTGTTACCAGTTTCATACATTTATTACACCCACCCGTTTCGTCGATTACCATCCATCCCTCAAAATAATAAGCTCAGATCAGACTCAATAACGTTGACCTTTGAGCAACATCTTCTCCTCCTCGTAAAGGTTCCCAATTGCACTAGTTGATAAGTTACTTATTGACAAGGTCAAGGGTAGTAGTACTTGCATTCTGCAATATGTTCTCATTTCAAGTTACTGTTGGTAGCTGTCATACTACGGTTGTATAGAGTGGAAGTACTAAGTACTGGGGAATAACTGTATGCCTTCCCCTTGACGTATCAGGAGCAACATACCAAGCTCTGCATATTGCGGCCAAATTGATATATCTCAGTGGCCATATCAATCGCAACGCTTTCGAGCAACGCTCTCCAGGATGAGTAGGCAGTTGCGCATGGTACGCCGGTATGCGCCCCGAATGAAAGTATCCGTCTTATCTACCCTCCGCCTACCCTAGTAAGTAAGGTCTGTTTTGGTTCCTAACTATAAAATAAGATGTGTTTCTGATTATGTACATATACCCTACCGCCTTCCTGGTAGAGACTGAAATCATCATGCCTTGATGCATCATTTTGCTGCCTAATGTGTAAAGTTTATGCCTCAGGCTTAGAGAGTAACTAAACTACTAGCAGGCAGTAACATGTTAAGCAGCCCACACGGTTAGGCGGCCCAGCTGGTAATACTATAAAAGATCCTTTTTGAACATAAGATATCTCAACCATCAAAAGTCTATGAGACGTGAATTCTGATATATAGTTTTAAAATAGTATAAAGAATCTTTAGATATATTCTAAAAATCTTATAAATATTTATAATAGATTATCATTATACAATACCTGTATTTTATATATATTATATGAAAATATAATATATCTATGTATATAAAAGAATTTAAAAATCTGAGAAATTTATAGGATATATATATATATAATTTATCTATAATATTAGAACCTCTCAAATACAGTATTTGTTGAGATATAATAGAATTAAAAAATTATCTTTTATATATGATAGTAGGATGGGCCGTCCAACCGTGTGGGCCGCTTAACCGTGGACTATGTTAACTAACCAAAGAGCAAGTCTCACCTTCTAATGTAGGCAGCAGGGTGTGGCATGAAAAAAGGCTGGTGAGGCAGCCTGGCCAGTGTCACAGTAGCGTCTTCCCTTCGAAAAGTCTATGTATGCCGCACAACAGAGTCTTTGAGATCAACATCCTCAGGTGTGACCGCTATACTATACCTACTATGGTCTCGGCGATGGGGTCATATCGTTTGTTTTGTCCATGCTTACTTCTCTTATCCGTGTCTAGCGCCAGAATTCCCCAGGGGAAACTTTCCGGAGGAGACCTCAAGCGCAGTGATTGACATGTGCCATACAGTGGCTATTTCAGTACTGTAAGTGCCTTTTCCATGTTGGAACATTGCAATAGGCTTCTCGGGACTCGACCGACATTTCAGCCAGCCATCGTGCATGACTCGTGGCGGTTCCGCCCATCTGGAACCGTCGCGGTGGAGGGAGTTGCAGCCCGGCTGGGTCCACTTTGGTAGAGTCAACGAATTTCGAACTTATACCAAATCACTTTAGCGAGGCCCAAACAATTGGGAAGCACTAATGGGACCCAGTTAAGTATTCTGAAGGTCTGGTTGCAGCTCGGCTGGGTTCAGGTCCCACGACTATACTTGGTTGGGAAGCTCGAACGACACGCGCCTCTTCCGCCTGACAGGAACAATGTCCTGGTTGCCAGGGAGTTGATCCGCTACACAGTAGGAACCAAACACCACACCAACCATGGATAGCGAAGATGGACCGGAATCTTCGGATTACTCAGGCCCCCGATCGTCGACAGCCCCACAAGCAGACTGACCCTCATTCAGCATTAACTTTAAGTTGTCCATGACACCACTCGAGTAGGACGATCGTGGGTTAGAAGTCAGATCGTACCTACCTTACGGCCAGCGATTTTGGGTTAGGCGTGATCTGAAGTACCAGTTTACATTTCATTACATCTATATGCTCGTAAGACCGATCTGCCAACATTATACCATAACCAGTTTTGTTCCCTGTAGGTAATTTTGAATGACTCGCTGGACATTAATCCACGTCTTGTTTTTCATTAGCGTTTCTTAGGCTAGCTGAGGAAAGTTTGAGAAGGGGATAGAAAAGGAGCTCGAGTGCTCTTCCTCTTTTATGTATTAGATCAGCTTGGGGTCTCTATTGAAGTTGGCACCATTTAACCTGGGAGAAGCAACATTGTCAAGAAGCAGAACCAACACTCAATATAGGTTGTTATTATGAGACTGTTTTCTAGGTCCAAGCCGCCGGCGCCGGAGCCAGTCCCTACAGATAAGGTGGTGCCTGTGCCACTACTGGACGACCAGCCTCGCTGGCATCAACGGTGTGTGCATTATGGCTATCTATTCAACGATGTTCTGGACTCGGATAAACTGCGACAAGCATTGCAACGTCTGATAGAAATCGGGGAGTGGCGGAAACTTGGAGCACGGATACGAATGAATGTAAATCACCCTCCTTCAATTGAAACCCTAGAAAAATAGAATACTGACAGACATTCAGAGCCATGGCAAGCTCGAGTACCATATCCCAGCCCACTTTGATGCAGCAAGGCCGGGATTCGTCTTGACCTCCGATAAACAGCCAATGAGTATCAGCGAGCATCCACTGGCATCCAAGTTGCCTACAAGTTCAGGACAGCCGTTCCTCTCCTCTCATCTAGATATATCCTCACTGTCACTTCACCCCGACTGCCCACGGAAGCTCGATGACTGGCTATACTCTGACTGGCCACTTCTTGTCATCCATGTCGTGAATTTTCATGACGCAACTCTGCTGTCGCTGACGTATCTGCATGTTGTCATGGATGCAATGGGTATTAAGCACCTCTTTCAGGCATGGTCCTCGGTAGTGAACGGGCGTGAGGAATATGTTCCGAGGTTTCGGGGAATCGACGAAGATTTAGGACGGACCGACAGCGCCATAGTGTCGGCGAGAGAGTTCATTCAATTTCCAAAATGGCTTCGAAGCTTTAGATGGATCATATTCCGCTTCCGCATGTTCTGGGAAATGTTTAGGTACGGCCAGCAGGAAACTCGTCAGCTGTGCATACCCGGGCATATTATCAACATCATGCGTGGCCAGATGATGCGGAAGCTTGAGCAGACATCCCATCAGCACGCCGAGTCAGTCTACTTAAGCGAAAGTGACGTTCTCTTAGCATGGTGGACTCGAACAATGCTGAAGGGGCTCGGTGAGACTGGGAGGCGTCCAATTGCCTTGTACAATCTATTTGATGCTCGGGCTAATTTGCCACGTACCTCTACTTCCGGCGAGGACGCCTTCATCTCCAACGTGATTCTTCATGCAACGACATCTTTGCGCGCCCGAGAGATGGTCTACCGGCCACTCAGCTTTCTGGCATGGCATATTCGGTCCGCGCTAATCCAGCACCGTACCAGACATCAGAGCCTAGCCCAGTTGGCCACCCAGAAAGTCGCACTTGACACCACTGGCGCCACAGCTCTCTGGGGGGAGCCGACCTCATTAATCATCTTTTGCACTAATTGGCATAGGTGCCAACTCTACGAAATCGATTTCTCTTCTGCGGTAATCCCATCCGCAAGCCCAGCCACCGGTCGCAGAAACACCATAGGCAGACCATTGCAACACATTACCGCTGCGATGCCGAAATCGCTTCATACCCGGAATTTTGGGATCATATTTGGCAAAGATGGTGCAGGAGATTGGTGGCTCGCCTGGACATTACGTGCGCAAGCATGGCCAACCATCCAAAAGGAATTGGAAAGGCTGGACAAGTTGGATAAACTAGGCCAGCTGGACCAGCTACAGGAAGATAAAAGATCACACTCCAATCAGGGCAGAAATGCCTAGTACGTCAATAATTTGGATGCATTGATTGAAGTAGGTTTGCCGAAGGTCCTTTGTATGTGCGTAAGTTGTGCCGTATCACACTATTCAGTTCAGCCCATATTAGTAATGTTAGACAACAACGAATTGAAGTTTTGTATTCCGAGTAATGGAATAATAATTTTGATGACCTCATTGATATTATTTTCAGTGATACGCGATTTTCCCAGGTGAAAAATCTGCGGGTGGGGACAAGATCGGTTGATCTGAGCAAAGCCACTGGAACTTGCAGCGTTCAGCAATCGCTGGTGGACCGACCCACAGCCCAGCTGAATCAGTGTCATGGAACAATCACCCCTTTTCATCGAACCCGGAAGAATGTCAAAGGCTTGTTTAGATTGTTCACTCATAAGAAGGTGCTTACAAGTAGGTAGGAAAACCATTTACGGGAGCTCTGTCACGACACAATCCATCTCTTAAGGTAAATATGGAATCAGTGAATACACTGTGTAGATACCTGCCTGCCATTGATGCTTGATTCATCGGATTCACCGGGGCGAACGGAGTCTTTATGGGAAATTTCAGCTGCAGGACTTGTCTCCACTATCTAACACGGGGTAAGATCCCCCTCCCATCAGACTTCACGGGCGCCAATCCTTTGGATGCATCACACCGATTTTCGGTGGGATGAGTCGTAATATTTCAAACTACGAGACCTTCAGCCTCGATTGGTGGATGTGGTTTGTACCATAAATACTTAGTACGGCCTGCCATCCTCTACAAAGCAGACTTGTACCGCCATTTCCCACTTTATGTTTTGAAAAGATACAGAAAAATAAAAACACTCGCAATGTCCCTAACCACAGCTTTACAGCGGGTGCTTAATGGAGCTTTCCGAAACCTTTCTGAAAGCACACGGGAGACTCTACTTCTCTCCATGCTCCCGAAATCCCTAGCCGCACTATTGGGTTACATTACACTGCGCCAAGTAAATAGAGCCCTGAATGCATGGTCACTGAACAACTTAGCGAGCCGGCCGTGGCAGAATGACCAAGAGCTCGTCTTAGTCACAGGGGGGTGCAGCGGCATTGGGAAAGCAGTGATGGAGGAGCTTGCTCAGCATGGCGCTAAAGTCATTATCCTTGATATCCAGCAGCCGTCCTTCGAGCTTCGTAAGTTTCAATCGTATTATAAAATCAACAAACTAACTAATAACTAACTCACTCAGCCCCCGACGTCTTTTTCTATAAGACTGACATCACTTCAACTGCTGCCCTCCACGCAACAGCCAATGAAATTCGTGCTGTACATGGACACCCAACAGTCCTTGTCAATAATGCTGGCGTATTGCATTTTACTCCTATCCTCGACCAAACAGAAGCCGCTGTTCGCCAGACCTTTGAGGTCAATACCATGGCCCATTACTGGACGGTGAAGGAGTTCCTCCCCGCGATGATCGAGCGCAACCACGGCCATGTGGTCACTCTGGCTAGTATGGCCAGCTTTCTGAGTGCGGGTAACATGGCTAGCTACGCCTGCTCAAAAGCAAGTGCGCTAGCATTTCACGAAGCCATAGGCCAAGAATTGAAAGTTTGGTACACTGCCGATGGGGTTAAGACGAGGTAAGCATGCATTTCAGGCCGCCCCTGGGAAGAATAATAGATGAATGCTAACAAATAGCGATAGTGTTTTCCATCCACTGTATGTGGGGACCCCCATGATCAAGCCCCTGATGAAGGGTGGAGCTCGCTTTAAACGCCCTGTACTGGCAGTGGAAACGGTGAGCCATGCAATCAGCCAACAGATCCTGTCTGGGAAGAGTGGCCAAATAATTATACCGGGCAAGCTTTGGTGGCTGAGTTTGCTGCGGGGATTTCCTACATGGCTGCAGGAGTCGATAAGGCGCAGCAGCTCGCAGGGTGCGAAGAGACTCGGAGATAGCGGCAGAGCGTGATTTCATTCATCCAAGTTCGATAGTCAAAGATGCCACTGTGTACAATCCTTGTTACTGACAGTGAACCAGTAGATAAAGAACCATTTCTAGACTACTGGAGTTAAGATGCTTGAATACCGCGGAAGTATCCACCGTATTCGAACGCTACTACACGCCAGTATTCAAGATTGAGAATCTCGATCTCGGCCTGCCCGCGGGTATGTATCATGCGAGACCCGCAGCGAGGTCCCACCTATCCAAACTATGGAAGTGGGAATGTTCTACAAAGAAGGTCGAAGACGGAAAGTAAAACCCACAGCCATTTAAGATGACTCGCGTAGAGATGCGCTTGGCCCGTATTTTTGCCATCTTCAGCTTGGTTTCGATTGTTGGGGTGCTGAAATGATACGAGTCAAAGTCAAATAATGGTTCTTTTGGTGCTCTGTGGAACTAGAAATACCCACTCTTCAGTTCGCACTGAGAGCTGGTCATGATTGCACTTGATCCACTATGTGTAGCTAGTGATGCTGCCTGGGAGTGTGTTTGAATCGCCAACTGACACAAATAGGTATAAATTGTGGGGATGTTTAACACCTTAAAACCTGGATACAATCTATAAGCCCATTGCTGCGAGAAGTGTGCCCTTGTGTTCTTACTTCAATTCCACCGCTACAGTAGCCATGGATTCTTCTTTTATCGTTACAGAGCATGTCATCCAGGCCCAATATATCCGGGAGTACCCCAGAACAACATATCCCCAGGATGCCCCAGTGAAGATTAGTATCAAGAAATATACCCCCAAAACAAATCAAAACCCGCAAGAGGGCGATATAACCATAATCGGGGCGCATGGCGTTGGGTTTCTCAAAGTATGAACGGTGCAAATCTTTCACATTTAATTCGCTCACAATAGCTAAATTTGAATCGCAACAGGAACTATATGAGCCATTATGGGAAGAGCTTTTGGCTAGGAGCAAGCAGGATGGTTTCCGTATCAGAGCAATCTGGATAGCCGATTGTGCCAATCAAGGAGCCAGTGGGGTTCAGAACGAAAACATCATGGGCAATGAAAGTAAGTGATATTTGTCTCTTAACCACCTTAGCCTCCAATGAAGCGAGCTCTAAGTATTGGTAGCGTCATGGTTTGATCACGCCCGTGACCTTTTGCATATGATCAACCACTTTCGAGAGGATATGCCACGGCCGATCATGGGTGTAGGACATAGCGCCGGGGGATCGCAGCTGTATGTTACCCCAAAGTTGCATATCAAGATACTCTGCTCACAAAGCTTAGAATACTTTTATCACTAATGCACCCTCGCTTGTTCTCATCATTAACGCTATTGGACCCCTACCTGATCCCCGATAACCGGGATGCCAATGCTCTGACTCTGGTCTACCTGACAGTAACGCGAAGGGACATCTGGTCCTCTCGGAAAGAAGCAGAAAAGTTTATACGCAGAGCTCTACGCAGCTGGGATCCACGTGTGCTCGACTGCTGGGCCCGTTATGGTTTCCGCAATCTACCAACTGCGATACATCCCGACGCCAACAAGGATAAGGGGGATAATGAGGTCCCAGTGACACTAACCACCACAAAACATCAAGAAGCATTTACACTTGCTCGTGCGAACTTAGAAGGGCACACACAGCTGGGCTCGTCTGAGAGTGAGACAGCAGCTAGCCTTGAGAGGGTGGGCAAAGCCCATGATGCACTTTTTCTACCTGACATTCTCGGGCCTCTCTTGGATGGACAGAAGTTTTACCGCCCAGAATCTGTCCTTGCATACCGTCTGCTACCCCACCTTCGACCCGGGGCTCTATTCGTCAGTGGTGCTGAAAGTGGCCTATACGAAAAAGGACATCATAGCGAAGCCGTCAAAATGGCAGGCGCCGGATTTTCTGGTAGTGGCGGCCAACAGTATTCTCGTGTAAAACATATCGTCATGGACAAAGGGCATCACACATTCCCAATGGAAATGGTGACCCAAACGGCAAGCTGTATCGGGCCGTGGATTGCGGCGGAAGGTGAGCGTTGGCGCATGGATGAAGAAAGAATTGCCGCCGGGTGGGAAGGACTACCTGTTAAGGAAAAGTCCACCATCCCGGAGGACTGGAAGGCGCCACTGAGTATCTGGAAACCCGTTGATAAACGACTCGCAAAACTATAACATGTTCATTGTCCAACTATAAGCAACGGGGAGCAACTAGCAATCAATATTATAGACAGACAATAGGTGCTCCAGGCAGTGTTTTACGATGGTAGTCACCCGCAGGCAGCTTTTTGGAAGCAGTCTCGTACAAAGCGTTATCAATTCCCTGTTCAGCTGGCTCGACGCCCAAATACCACCGACCCGGTCTGTATCTCTGTAGAACATCGTGTATGTTGCCACTCAAAAGCTGTCCGGGTAGCCATTATAAAACCGACAGAACAGAACCTGTCGGAAGGCACCCTCAAAAAGGTTTGGGCCTGAGTGCCCCAACCCTGTCCTTGAACATGGGCCCACCGGGAAGATGCATTAGATTACTCATTACTATCGGTACAGAGTATATCGGTGTGCAAGCGGTTCCAGTGGAGCTGCTGAAGAGCCGTACCTCAGTTGCAAACAGTATCTTCATTTCGTATGTCCAGACACTCCGTCGGGCCACCGCTAGTGCCATCCCGCATCTGATCCCAAGATCTGGCTGACTAGTTGCTCAGCTAGCTTAAGACCCACAGCTCGATTGATTGATCAGCTTGTGACGGGCAGTACTTGCTTTCAGCCTGCTGAAATCCGAATTCCATTACCGAAACCCATAGCGTCCTGTGTAGTTCGGTTACGTACCCATCTGGGGGAAACTGGCGCAAATACTAATTGCCAGCCTAGCATCCTTCGAGTGTAGCTTGCTTCTCACTCACCAGAGACCAATCACATGAACAGGAAATACAAAGATCAGAACTCAATGGTGGCCTGGGAGATATACTCCCATCACAATTTCATTTATTAATTGTATGCTCACGGCGATGTATGGGTCAATGATATTGTGCTGTGCCTGGGTGAGCAGCGGAGCGCCTTGTTGCGATCCGGTCTATTTAATCTCCAGCTATTGTACACAGTCCTCTATAGATTGTTCTTTCATCCACTTTCCAGATAACCAGGGTCGCGACTTGCCGCAATCACCTGTTAGTATGCAGCATTCTACGCATGGCGTGGCGATCTACACCTTCAAATCGACGCGTGGCATAAGGAATAAGGTATATCACCCTCGGGCTTGCGTATACATTGCTAACAAATCATTGATCTGATCCACTTGTACAGGGGAGTTTGTTAGGTACTGTCCTAACTCTGCTTGTGCCAATTCTGCAGCAGCTGTTCCCGACATCTATGGTGCTCGTGCCAATGTTCGAAAAGCATATGGATACGAAATCCTCAGCGCTAGTCGTATTCCAAATACCATGACTACCAATGATAAGCAGATGCATCGGTTTTAAAGACGCATTTTGTGCCAAGTATATTCAGAGAATGGTGTCAAAAACATCCTTGACCTTATATTAGACGAGATAGCTTATAGTCGACCTCGACGCGATACGCCTCAGACCGTCGGCTAGCTCTTACTCCACCAGGAGAGCACTAGCCTGGTATTGGGAGGGAGATTTAGTCCACAGAGAGTGTAGTGTTCCTGCTCAATTACGCCGGGATCTATTCGCTAGTGCCCGTACACCCCCTCCTCCTCCTACATCCTACTGAGTGAGCCAGCACTGTGGGAAACCTTCGCAATTCCCGCAACGCTACTCAAAGGTGGGCAACAAGGCAGATTGGCTTGTCAGGTACAAGTTCCGCTGTGGGTATTCCAGGCCAGTAGACACAGACAGGTGGCTACTTCGTGCTAATTCTGTCCTTGCAGGAAACCACATAAGATAAGGGTCGCGATACCCTGACTTCACGACACTCTCACGTCCCCTACCTTGGCGCTGATTTCTCCCATTCCTAGCCCTCAAGCGCACAAATTCTGTTTGCAGGTAATCTACGAATATGACGACTAGCAAGCATTTGATTCGCTTCGACACTTATGTCAAGCGGCATCCGTCCCTCACCGTGGAGGAATTTCACCAGTAAGCTTGGCTCTGAGTTCATCCACAACTAACTACATTGGCGAGGTTTTGCTGACATCTTCACTCTTTTCCCACCGTCACAAGCACTTGGACCACTAGTCACGCGCAGTTGTTGAAAACTTGGTTGGCACGGCATGGGGTATACCGCTATACTCTGGTATGCCCTGTAAAGTCTCATGTCAAGTAATGCTTGAAAGCTCTGCTGTTGCTGACATCCTTCCTTCAACCAGTTCCACACCCCGCCGGATGTGGCCAAGCAGTACCTAGGTCAGGAGCACGCCGGTGGTGGTCACGTGATGGAGTCGTTTGATGGACATGCGGAGATTCTGTTGGAGAGTTGGGACATTCTGGGCCGCCTGCGCGCAGATCCATACTATGTGGAGGTAGTGGAGCCAAGCGAGGTCACATTGATTGACAAGGCCTCCGTTGTCAGAAGGGTGGGATATGAGGAGGTCTGGGTTGCGGAAGGCAAGGCTGTCGACCAAACCAAGTTCGCCCATCCAGACTCAAGTCATACCTGACTCTGGCCAACTACCAAAGTACCTTATGTTGGTTGTTGGTAGTCAAGAGGACACAATCTTATCATCCAGTATGTGATATTCCGGGCCGCGTGTAGATTGCCTCACTCTAAAAAGCACACCTTAAACTTAGCTGGCATAGTAGTAATGCTGCCAGCCTGGTTTCCCGGCCACATTCCCCGCCTGAACCTGGACGGACTTATTTAGCGTTTAACAGATCGGGCAAACGATCGGCATGAGATGCGCAGGCTCCGTGGCTCGCTTAGGAGGGCTCAGTTCTGCTAGTTCCATTGGTTCGAACCTAGGGAGCAGGGGTTCACATAGCGTGAGCCAATCTCAAGTGGGTAATCAGATACCATTTGAATGGAGGCGCTGTGGACGCTTGCCGGACGGAGCCGAAAGGTTAACTCATCACCAACTGCCCTGGCAGCCAAGCACCAAAATGACAGGTTCTGGCCCCCTTGACTGGCACAGGACGGGGACGCTATATTCCAGGTATCCCACAACATGCCCGGCTCCAGGGTCAATTTTGATCCAACCGGCGCAGCTTGAGACTACTCATTTAGTACCCTATCATAGCGTGACGTGAGCTTAACCGATTGTACTTTCCCTGTCAAAACATTCCCTCCCTGCCACTGCTAGCTTCTTATACAGTATAGCCGGGGAAGTTGACTCCGAGCGGAAGGTACAGCGAGCCAGCGGAAAGTTGTCGTGGCTCAGCTTGTCGACGAGGCAGTGGAGCGCGTGGAACAAATCGGGTGCAGAGGCCACGTCCAGCCCCTTCCGCACCGTTGGAATTGGGATCGCCAGCTGTGTCTTCGCCTTCCCACTTCAGCACATCGCCCAAACGAAGCCCTCGTAGAGATCGACACTTCCCAGGTGCGATGTATTTGTCCATGTAACTGTTTTGTATGTTGCCTGCATTTTCTTTGTTTGAATTCACCCTTTTGCCGCCTAGCTTACGGAACCCCCCCGCCCCCTCAGTGCCTTTCTACGGTCGGTTCTTTGACACTGTAGGTTACTGCTGCTGCCTGACAGACGACAATTGGGCACTGGGCAATCCATCAAGGGTACACCGTGTTCTCTCATCACTTCTCTCATCACTTCCCCATTCAATGTGATAGTAGTATTGAGTGGATGGCAGAGCCCCTGGGACACGCGGAAACCCCCCCCCCCCCCCCCATTTACGCTAACGTCTACACTAAATTCTCATCCGCATGAAATGCTCCCTACGAAGGCTTGTCAATGGCTTGGGCCTTATTCGTAGTTAAGCTTCAGTGGAGACGCCAATGCATTCATTCCACACTGGGTTTTAGGACCTCTCCCTTGGCGGCGGCTTATATTAAACACTGATATCAAGCCATTTTGGACGGTTTGTGCCCGTGGCTGTCTCCCGCGCCTCTTACTCATTGCTTCTGCTACGTCCTGCGTATGATCATGGCAGCCCCTTCGTTTGTCAATGCCATTCTAATCACTGTCCTCCTAGTAAGATCAGCCGCGCCCACTGCAACCACAAGGACCGAAAATTGTCCCGTTCTCTGACCCACGCCTTCTAGTTTCCCATCCTCCTGGCCCTCAAGCGGCTCTACTTCCACCCCCTATCTCGATACAATGGGCCTCTTCTCTGGGCATTAACCCGTGTGCCATATATGTTGGCTTTCCGAAATGGCCAGTTAGCGCATAAAATCAAAGCTTTTCACGAGGTTTATGGCGAGACCGTCCGCGTGGCCCCGAATGAGGTGTCCTTCGTCAACCCCGACACTGTCAAAGACATTTACCAGCGCCGACCGAGCGGCGGGGGCTTCAAGTCACTTCCCAAAGATCCCATCCGTCAGGCACCTCCAAGGCCAGGGCAGCCCATTAGCATCCTCGATGCGGGTGATGCTGATCACACGCGACTCCGCAAGGCCTATGCAGCCGCCTTCAGCAGCCAGGCCTTGAGCGCCCAGGAGCCGCTCGTTGCCAGCTACGTCGACAAGATGATCGCTCAGATGCAGTGCCAGAGCAAACTCATTGCCCAGAGTGTTGATCTGCAAGAGTGGATCAGCTTCTGCACCTTTGATATCGTCTGCAAGCTAAGCTTCGGGGAAGATTTCGGCTGTTTGGACAACCAACGCTACCACGAATGGGTGGGCCAACTCGTTCACTCGCTCAAAGCCAAAGTCCAGCTAGCCTCCTGCCGCTTCTATCCCTGGCTGTTCAACTATCTCGTCAAGCGCCTCCCCAAATCTGCGGGTATCTTGATGGCCCAGCACCAAGCCACAACTAAAGAGAAGGTGAAGCGCCGGTTACAGCAATTGGAAAGCGATGCCAAATCCAGTGGTGCCGCTGGGGTCATTAGGCCAGACTTCCTGGCACATCTTGTGCAGCAATCCCGCCAAGAGATCTCGGAAGGCGAGATGGTAGTGAACGCTGCAACCCTCATCGTTGCGGGGAGCCACACCCTGCAAACCGCCATCACTGGCATTCTCTTTCACCTCCTTCAAAATTCAACAGTATTGAACCGCGTGACCAGCGAAGTACGTGGCGAATTCCCCACTACCAGGGAGATAAACGTGTCCACCCTGCTCAGGCTGCCCATGCTAGAAGCAGCGATTAAGGAAGGCATCCGTCTCACCTCCCCCGTGCCCCTGGGGTTGACTCGACTCGTTCCAGTTGGGGGTCATACCATCAATGGGGAATTTTTCCCAGAGGGAGTAAGTCAATTCTGTGGGCACCTTTCTCATTATTGCTGTATCTGCTGTCGCCCAGAGCGGGCAAAATGGGATCATCTAGACTGTTACGCTAACCATGAATTACAGACTGTTGTCTCCTACATGCAATGGGCTGCCAATGTCTCACCACAAAACTACACCGACCCTCAGGCATTCCACCTTGAGCGCTGGCTCAAGTCACGCCAGCCGTCTTCATCTTCGCCGGATGACTTTTTCGATAAAGACCAACGACATGCTACACAGCCGTTCCTGCAAGGCCCGCGGGATTGTATCGGCCAGAATCTGGCCCGCATGGAGATCGTCCTCATTCTGGGCAAACTTCTGTACCACTTTGATCTGCAGCCCGAGGGCCACCTCGGACGCTGGGAGGATCAGGAGACATACGCGGTCTGGGTGAAGACGCCGCTGCCAGTGAAGTTGCGAGTAAGACAGACGGACTGAGCTTTCTGGTAACGGATTTACTCGGACCCTAAGATATGGCGAGACTGCTTGGTTGCCTAGAATTAGAGAAACCACCTATTTGAAGAAAATAAGTGAGGCTTGTTATCAGTACTTCCCGCAATCAAATAGTCTTGGTTGCGTCGCAGGACCTGCAAGGTGCGCAATTAATCTAGTTGTAACGACCGTGCTCTTAGACAATTATGGTCGTTGGTCATAACGAACTTACATTGCATTCGATTAGCAGCTATGATTGTTTTTTTAGTAGTAGCAGAGTCACTAATTCACCTTGCAGATGATAACCTTCTCAATGAAGACGAGGATTGAATTCTGAATATGAGCTGTCTATCATTCGACTATGTTGTTGACTATTGAACAGGCCACATGCTGGATTGTCACTGTCAAGCTATTACGTGACACCATCCAAGGGACGAGAATGAAATGTGGAACGTCGAATATGGGACTTATGTGTGTCGCCAAATAGAGATGTCTAATATCAAGTTCCTTGCGAAAAAGTAGAATTGAATGCAATCCGAGATGTACCGATGGGTAATGGTGCTTCAGTAGTTAATAGTACTGTGGATTTCTACGGCTAGCTGATTAGTTGTCTTACTATCGCCTACTTTTGGAAGTTGACAATGTAACATTGACCCGCAATGCCTACTTATAACTTGGTCTGTCATCGTCAGTCGATACACCTAAATAAAACAGTGAACGTGGTATGGTGTTTGTTGAATTGCTATAATAATATCCCTTGACACCAAACGAGTCCAGCACTTGAACTTCAAATGTCTCATATTCACGAACCCCAGCAGGATATGCTGCCAGAACCCTTTTCCAAGAAGACGATTAATAGGGAACTAACTACAGTTATTGAAATCTCCAGGATAATACCTAGATTGATAATTTTTAATATTATAAGATTATTAAATCCTATTCTATAGCTCCCCGACAGACATAAAGTATATGTTGTGCCGGTTAGCGGGGCGCCAGAAACCGCGCCCATTGAACCGCCGCTCTGCCGCCCGCCACCGCCTGTTCCATGCGGGAATCTCGCTACCCCTTCCGGTTTAGCGTGTCCGTTTCGGGCATCGCGCTGACGGCTCGCCGCTTTTGCGCCCGCCGCCTGCCGCCTGATGCCCGCTGCACGATCTATATAACCCCATCCACTCTTCCTCAAAAGACGACGCACTTTCTTTTCCCGGTCTAGCACCGTCCATGTCTCCTTATCCCTCGCTCCGCCCACCGTCGGAGTCACCAATGGATCACTCTATTGGTGATTATCGCTCTGTTCGTTTCTCAGCTATCCACGTCTCCCCTGTCCGTGTACGCCATCTCACATATAAGGACGGTCAGGCCTTGGATTAAGTCGAACTGCACCCTGTGTTGGAAGAGTTAATGATGAGTATAGATATTCGTTTTTACTTGATCTCGCACTGATTATAGTGCCCAGAATTGCTCCTGCCTCTACTCCATATACAAGAGCCTGTGAGCCCTCAGGCAAGGCAGGACTTCGTTGCTGTCGGATGACCCTTCTCTTCGACCCCCACAGTGGATTTAGGGGCGCAGCTAACCAGCATTGCATCCTATCCATGACCGATCCTTGGCCTATGGGTCTCGGTGCACACCGAGCGAACTCTCTCACGTCGACAGCTCACCAATGGCAAAGTTGCCGCATGCATCTTCCGTACTCCTTAAATCTCCGAGAGGTCTGGGAATACGATATTTAAAGAGCAGCAAGCTGATGCGGTTAGCGGATAACACTCCATCTTCATTTCCCAGCAGATCATGAGGCTGAATGTTGATACGTCAGTTGCTAAGAAGTCGCCGAAAGGGGGACAGATTCTGTTT